ATAATAATGCTTGTAATTTGTAGACAAATTGTTACGGGCTCATTCATGTCCTCAGAAATACTACTGTGCCGTTCTAAACAAAACAGTACTCATTCACTTCCTCTTTGCTTCTTTTGCTCATCTATAACCTCTGCGAAATTCCCAACGGTGCCATTAGCTCCAGGTGATTTATCAAGTACACAAAGGAAATGACTACGCAGTTTGGATGTTAGAAATATTACCTAATATTCAGCTAAAAACGTTACTGGATTTGCTTGCTAATCTTGTATATTTGTAACGCTTTTGTTATAGGCTTTTAACGCCTTTCAGTGTTCCAACGAAATGGGAAACTTTATCGCCAAATCACGCTACCCTTTTGTCGATTTCGGGAAGCTCCATTTTACGGCAACCCTCTTTGTGGGATTGTTGATGTATAGAGTGCCCGGAGGCTGTGGAATATAAGCCAGCGCTTGTTTGGAGGCAGTGGATTAAACAAACCGTTGAGTAATCACCGAATTATCTCTAATATTGTTCGTTTGTATTCGATAGTCCGGAACCCTTAAATATTCATAGTGGGTACTAGCTAGCACTGGCAAGCTGTATACGTGTTGCCTACTTTGGCAGAGATAGTACCTGCTTTGCTGAGCCTAATGAGCCTTTTACGGCTCGTGTACAGGGTGTCCCATTTTGGGGTATCTCACTTACTAGTAAAGATAGAAAGATGCTATGAACAAAATCTTCATATCCCGCTTCGTTCATGAGATACAGGGCGAAATTTTACATACTGCCTTTTAGGACACCGCAAACATACCGCAAACCTAAAAACTGGCTCTCATACAATTTTTTACTTAGAATCCAGAAGTCAGATGTCAATTTGTGACTACAAATCAAACTTAACATTTTTGCTTTTTTGGTTGAATATTTTAGCTTTGCACAAATATATAACAACAATTTCACCAACAGCAGTCCGTTATTCTCCCCCTATAGGGTAACAGACCGTCAGATACAGCGAATGAGCTTCAAGTTCCAATCAACAAATTTTAGCAACCAATAGCTATGAAATGTTGAAAACAAAATACTGTCGAAGTATGAGATGACAACTTGTCATTGAAACATTACCAGCTTATTGAATATTAAGAAATTACATATAGTTCAGTCAAAATTTCAAGAAATGTTTGATTTTTGAATTAAATTAATGTTTTAATTACTATTGTTGATTTTTTATTCACGTCTATATCATTTTCTTCAATTGATATGTGATACTGGGTGTTTTTTCCAATAAGCAGATAGCCATTAAGCACCTACTTGATGACAGGCTCTACCAACAGATTTTGCTCGTTTCCAAACATTCATTCATTTACTTGCCGTTCATCAGAACCATTATGGCACCTTAGATTGATATTCCCACAAAACCATTCAGGTTCTTTGATATCCATACATCCATAACGTTGAATATTTTTTCGTTGTTCAGGAACTGAACAAACATCCACACTATATTCACAGCGATTAAGAAATTCCCCGATTTATGCCTTAAAGCTACTAGCAAACCTATAAAACCTGCAAAAGAAACTACAAATTTGAAAAATTTTTCCTTTTTCACGAGTAGACATTCTAGGTTATATTTATATTAGTCATTATTTGAATACAGCTGATTATTGCATTTCAAGGAGTGACACATGTGTGGGATCTGTCAACTCTTGGTACCAGTCACAAAACATACTCTGCAGGTTTAATTCCATGCTATTCAATCACAACACGGTGACTTGTGTGGTTGTCAACGGCCATTTTGTGGGGGTGCGGCAGGGTTGCCAGATTGTGCATTAATATCCCGTTTCACCCTCATGGTCGCAGTGGAGTAAGTTCCGCCAACTGTTGAAATATACTCTACTATGCTTTATAAGACTATTCGTGACATTTTTCCCAAAATCATTGCACAACACTTGAAAAAATGCAAATGAAAATTTAATATTATTTCCATGATGCCGCAAAATAGCTCTGCCGGTACCTTGGGTTATATATCTTGACAGTAGGGATGTTTGGAATGATCCTATATCTAGAAGTATCAATACATTTCACGAGTATCGTCATCTTTCGATCCGGACTGTGTCAGGAAGAGTGACTGCCATTTGGCTGCGACATTACCCTACCATCTTTCATCATTTTCAAAGAAATCTTCAAATTTGTGAAGTTAGCGAGTTTCACTTCATACGTTTTTACCAGACAATAAACATTACTAGTTTTGATGATTTTTGGACTTGAAAGGACATCATTTGTGAAACATTATTCATAATTTTTTGTCTATGTCCATAGTAATTGCATTATGCATCAGGGAGGTGTAGGGATTGACACGTCTTACACATATTAGGTATCTGTGTTCTAGGATGGAGAGGACATAATGTTTTTATTGCTTTGAAGAAATTCATTAACCCATAAATTAATAAATGATTACTATTATGACGTAAAGGAAGATGAGGAATTGGATGGAATGTATTTTATATTCTATTTTCTTGCAAAATACAGACAAATCCACACTATTCAACAGGTATGTAATCATAACTTTCATTATATTGAAGTTGGTAAATTCAAGAGTGCCATGCATTAACAAACGTCCAAATCTGCTGCCAAATTTAACAGCTAGAAAATCGACCTATTATTTGCCGCATTCCCATTCGCTGAGGGGGATAGCGGATTGTTAAATGTGTCAGGTCGGATGACCGCGTTGGCCAAGGCACAGGGCCACATCGGCCTATCCACCTATTTGGAAATTTGTCGTCCAAATACTGCCGCACTTGTAAAGAAAAGTGGGCTGGAGCGCCATTGTGTTGAAACCACATGTTGGCTCTTATGTTCAGTGGCACATTTTCTAATAGTTCCGGTAGCACATGCTGTAGGAATCGACCGTAAGCATGCCCATCCAAACGTGGTGGAAGCAAATAACCGTCCTTTGTAAAACAGGACTCGTCAGTGAACAAAACGTAGCGACCAAAGTTTGGTTGTCTCAACTCCTGCTGCAGCCACCATCGACAAAAACGTCGACGGGGCAGATAGTCTTCTGAACCCATGGCTTGGACTTTTAAAGGTGATATGGGTGTAGTTGCTGGTCATGGAGAACCTGCCAAACAGTAGTTTGAGACGCTCCCATATTATGTGCAATAACACGCACAGTTACCACCAGCTTCTTCCGTTACCACCAGCTTCTCCGTAAATTAAATGCATATCCGCAAGTTCCGCATACGAATAACGCTGCATTTTAACACAAATGTACTGTTATTTACTATCTAGTTTGACGCACCACTCAGATAAATTAAATGAATCGGTGTGCAGAATTTACGATAACAAAAATGTAAACACCGCAGCCTTTTTTACAAACCGGCGAGACCATGAAATGTGCTAGACGAACATTTTGCAGCTGGTGAATTTTTTGTTTCTCCTATGAGCTCTTAGGGTAAAATTAGCGGTAGTGCTCAAACGGCATATTTACGAACAGGGGTTTATAAGGCAAAATTGGATATTTTTATGCCCTCTACAACCCCTATCATTTTGTCGCAATAATTATGGAACGCCCTGTATATATTGTGGAAATAATTCTGATGGCATCTTTTAACAGATGAGGAACGAAAATGCTCGAAGCCCACTTAGGCGGTACTCAGATCTGCCAAACCTATTTATAACACAATCAGAAATATTACAGCCGATAACTGGTTCTCCTCAAAAGAGCTCGTAATTTTTCTGAAAACTAAAAATCTAACTTTTGTGGGAACGCTTAAAGAAATAACGGTGAGATTCCTCCTACATTTTTGCCAAACAGAAAAAGAGGGGTTGGTTCCAGAATCTATGGATTTATCACTGATACAACCATGTTATCTTTTGTACCTAAAAAAAAATAGAGCAGTAATAATGATCTCTTCCATGCACCACAATACAAATACCGACGTTGAGACTGGTAAGCCAGAAATTATCTGTTTTTACAACACTACTAAAGGTGAAGTGGATAGCCTGGACCAAAAGTGCAGTCTTGATTCTTCGTCGTAGAACTCGCCGATGGCCCATGGCCATTTTTTTCATATTGGTAGATGTAGCGTATGTAAATTCATATGTTCTACATCAATCATACCAAGATAATCCAGAAATGAACCGCTATCATTTTGGAAAACAGTTAGCAATGCTTTTGGTAACTCCACATATGCAACGCCGATATGAAAATGTGCGTATTGGTCGTGAAATGGAAATGTCTATAAGTCGCGTACTACAATTGCAACAAGAAGAACATCCTATGGAAGGTGATAAAATGAATACAAGAACGACTTGTAGACGTTGTCCTTAGAAGAAGGAGAGGAAAACATTCCATGTCTGTGTAATGCCTAAAACTACAATATCCATGGAATGTACTAGGAGAATTTGCAAAGAAGAATGTTCCATCTAAATATCCTAATAGTTTACCCTTTGCAGATATTTTTATACAGAATGTTTTTAGTTATGCTATGATGTTATTTTATTTAGAATAGTTTATTTTAATTATTTATGTGCGAAAAAGTGTTGTTTACGTTTTTATTTTATTTTTGTTTATGACGCTGTTACACTTGAACACAAATAGGGTCAAGTGGTGCAAAAATGAGACAGCCGAAATTTCGGTCAAAAACAAGACATTCAATTTTTCCCAATGCAAAATTACTTCCACATATATACAATTGAAATATGTAATGAATAATAAATAAACGTAAACACAAACTTCGAGAAAAAACTATCGCATCTGATTGTGCATTTTGCTTAAAAAATCTTTTAAATTGTATTTACAAACTTTTCCTGTTGCGCCGCTGTACGTGATCGTAGAGACTCGGCAGGTATCGCGTTTTCAAAATAACAAATGCGGCTATGATATTCCATGTCGAATTTAGTCTATTTTTATTTGTTGGTAAGCAGGCACGTCGTGAATAACAGGTGCAAGAACGAGACACCGCAAAGTTTAAAAACAAGGCACCTGCCAGGTAAAAAACAAGACAGCTTTCATACCTTTGATAATAATGCCGAAGGTTTACGTTCCCAAAAAGCGCCCCTACGACAAAAAGAACATGGAAACAGCCCCAAAACTAATAGATAATGGCACTTTATCTCTTAGAAATGCAGCTAAACAGTTTAAAATTGACAAATCTGCTCTTTCGAGAAGACGTACTCGTTCGCTTGGTAAACAGGGAAGAAAAACTTCTCTAACCAAAGAAATGGAAGAAGACTTAAGTGATAAGGTGAAAATAATGGCAAAATGGGGTTTGCTCTCACTAAGCCAGAGATACAAGCAATAGTTCAAACCTATGTACAAGAAAACCACCTTACTACCCAGTTTAAGGAAGGAAAGCCCGGGAAACATTGGTTAAAGTTCTTGAGAGCGATGTAGAAGTAAAATATCTGAGGCGCAAAGTATTTAAATTTATTTTTCCTGCCATTGAGGAAAAGTACTTCATCGACAAAAGTGACATAGAAATGAAACTTCCCCATCCAGAAATAGAAAGTAAGACCTGTCGTATCTCTCAGCAATATTGGTTTCCTATCGACCTTGAAAAATACGTTGTTCAATAATATGTAGTACAAAACACGTTATAATAATAAGTTTTCTACTTTAGCTCTTAAAATCCTATCGAAAATCTTGTTTTACCCCTTTTTTGAATTAGGTATGGTTTATTTAACTTGTTTTTGGATTTGTTTTCTTTTTAGCTTAATAATCATAGTTTTGTATTTAATTATGTGAGTTTTCTTTAAGAACGTAGTCACAATTTAAAATCTAACTATGTTATTTAAAACCTTTAAAAACCCTTGTAGTATGTCTCGTTTTTATTCCCCAGGGTCTGATATTTTGCCACACTGATGTAAAATGACTAAAAGGCCAGAAAATACAGTGTCTTGTTTTTAACCTTTCACTGTCTCATTTTTTAGCCCAAAAAGTGAGGTATACTACATGGCTTTCTATATACAGGGCAATATAACAAAGCCTTAAAGTCCGGTTTTTTGTTGACAAAAAATTAAAAGATTTAAAAATTGTCTCGTTTTTGCACCACTTGACCCTATAGCAATAACATATTTTTTCCATACTCTTATTTCATTCAAATATACTTAAAACTAGATCCAACGCTAATTAGAAAGATCTAAGAGTTAATCCGCATGCTGCAAAAAAATGATTTTGTTGTTCATGTATAGTCAAAAAAGATAACCGATCAAAATAACCGATAGTCTGTGGTTAAGTCCTACAAACGTGACCTCTGTAGCTGAGGGTTAAATTCGTAATATCATTTTACAGCTTTTCTGTTAATGGTGTTCCTTTGCAGACTTCTGTTTCAACAAGTTTTATTCTTTTGTGAATTTACACTTTTGCACTTTAACAGTACGCTGACCTATCTAAGCACGCAATTGTATTAAGGACCAATGACTAACTGAAACTGCTCTGGAGTTGCCGAGTAGCACGAAGCAGCTGTTGGTCGTCTGTGGTCGGACGAAAGCTAGTTCAATTAGCGGGGTTTTCTGTTGCGATAGAGCAACAAAATTTCACCCTTAATTTTGATACTGCCGCACAGCGCCCACCGAATTGCGTCTGCAATACACGGAAAGTTCCAAATAACTGTCCCTTCAGCAAATACGCCGAGCAAATTCTTATCTCTCCGCTGAGCACTGAAACAGATAGCGTCTCTCGACCCGAGGCCGTTCATTGCCCAGAACTGATGAGAGCGTATTTCGCGAAATTAGTTTGGGCGATTTAGTGCCCGAACGGCCAACTTTCTGCATACTCGCCTGCCGCGCAGTCAGACCGCTTGTAACTATAATTGCCCGCTAGTTTCGGTTTTCACTTTGATGGGGTTCTTTGCGTTCAGCGCCATCCAGAGATGGAATTAGGCTGGATGGATGGTATGTGGGCAGCAGGATGTCCCAAAAAAGCAAATGTCTGTTTTATCTAATTTTGCTTGAACAATGTCAAAAAGATAGTGAATAAAGTTTTATGTACCTTATACCAGGGCAGGGGCAGCTGGCCTTTAAGCTCTGCAGCGCTGCAGAACTGCCAAAACTTTTGTCTTAACAGAAAAAAGCAGTAATAATTTGATCATTATTTATTTTCCATGTTATCACACAAATAGAAACAATACCGGCCACGCTGCTCCGCAAGACACGGCGTCGAGTCTGTTTTGTACTGAGGAAGTATTATAATCGACCAATTATGTACTTGACATTTTCGTCCCGACCGCAGCGTCACATCATTCATGGGCCACTTGAAAAGGGAAAAGGGAAAACCCAACTGGTATAACGTTTTTGGAATTATATGAATCCCGAAAAATGTGACGCTAGTACTCTCACAAGACATATTTTGAGCGCCATAGATCCATTAATAGGACTTTTCCCTAACAAACTGATTTCACAAAGTTATGATGGAGCCGCGGTAAGGAGCGGACATAATGCTGGAGTACAGGCAAAAATTAAAGACATCCATATGCTCACTATGTGCATTGCTATACGCATCAGTTAAACTTGACTATGTCCCAAGCTGCTTCCGAAAATGCTCAAGTTCGGGTGTTCTTTGGGGATTTGAAAGATATTCCGGATTTTTTAATGATTCTCCTCAACGCGTAGAGGTACTGAACAGAATTGTGGGGAAAAAAATTCTCCAAAGAGCAACAACTCGTTAGAATTTTAATATTCGAACAATAAATGTAGTATCTGAGAACAGATAATCACTCTGGAAGAAATAGAAGAAAATTTCACTAGTGAAACCGTTTGCAAGGCAGCTTGCGGTATTCGCCGTATGTTAAACGATTCTGCTTTCGTGTTTTGGTTGACATTTTTTCATCATGTCATGGCCTCACGTCGACATCTTGTTCAACCAGTTGCAGAAGATAAAAACCGAGCGAGCGCCAGTTAAAACGGCTATCGATAATTTTGAAAAATGTATTGCCGATGTGAAAAATAAAATTGACGACATAATAAATGAATCCAAAACTACTTGCATTGAACCCCAAGGCAACGAAAGGAGACGACGTAATAATAGCAGTCACGATCACCAAGTTGCCGCATTAGAAGTATGCGACAATATAGTGAATTATGCAAGTGACAGGTTTAAATTCAAAGATTATTTGGTAGCCGCATCCCTTTTTTCCCCGAACGCTTTGGAGAATACTGTGGTAAGTTTCCTGATGACAAGTTGGAAACTACCTGCTTGGCTTATACCGAATTCGAAAAAAGTCGTTTACAGACAGTTGTCTGTTATTTATGCACGGAATGATCGCCGAGATTTACATGGAACTCTGTCTCTTTTGAAATGTTTGATACAAAATAGTTTAGAGGAAACACTAAAAGAAACAAAAAGCTTTTAGAAGTTATTGTTACAACTCCTATCTCACCATCAGAGGCTAAGCGAAATTTCTCAACATTGAAAAGAATCAAGGTTTGAAAAGGAATTTATTTCGATTTTCGACCATGGAAAATTTCAACGGGAAGGTGATCGACAAATTTGCTGCCAAGATGCAGCGCAGGATCGCCTCTAGGGGCAGAGATGTGTATTACACAAACTCCGCCCACCGCAATGCTATTCCGGTTACTTTTGGGTACCTCCTCGTATCTTTATATTCACTGAATGAGTTTATAAGAAGAGCAAAGATGCTGCGGAATTAATACTATAGAACAATTAAGTTATTCGAATATCTTGATTATGAAGTATGGGTATGATAGCAGCATTCACAAATAACAAACGGCCTGCATCACAATCTGCGGCGCAGTGAAACGAGATTATTCTGTTTTGGTTAAGAACTAAGGATTATCAAAAAGCGCGATGTAAATCGCAAAGAAGCGGTCAAAATGAGATTCTCAAAACCAGTACATCAGAAATGAGCGACATAGTTTTGCAATCAACGACATAACATTTTTATTTTTTTAATAGTTCGATTATGAAGATGGGCGTTTACCCATAATTGTCCAATAGCCGACATGTCAGTTTGTTAGTTGAATGTTTACCATTGATCGCTATGTAGTCATATTCGATTGAAGACCGCATTAAAGTTATTCAAGAGCACTACAAAAATGGTGCAAAAATAAAAAACACGTTTCGCGCGCTTCGTGAACATTTTGGTTACAACAACCGCCCCAACGAAACAACCATCGGTCGTCTGGTGCGTAAATTCGAGGCAACAGGTTCTGTGGCAAATCTGCCAGGCTCTGGCCGGTCAAGGAGCGTTCGCACGGCGGAAAATACTGCTGTTGTGAAGGAGAGTGTGAGAGACGATCCGAAACAATCAACAACGCGTCGATCCCAAGAATTGGGCATTTCGAGAACCAGTTTGCTCCGCATTCTCCAAAGGATTTGAATGTACACGCCTACAAGATCCAATTGACGCAAGAGCTGCGTCGGGCCGACCATTTTTCGCGCCATTGGCTTCTTGAACACTGCCAAATTGATGCCAATTTTTCATCAAAAATCATGTTCAGCGACGAAGCGCATTTCACTTTGAATGGGACGGTAAACAAGCAAAACTGCCGCATCTGAGCGAACAAAAATCCCCGTGAGAATCAAGAGCAGCCGATGCATCCTCAAAAAGTGACTGTGTGTAGTGCATTGTGGTCAAAAGGCATCATCGGAACTTACTTTTTGGAAAATCCGGCCGGGGACGCCGTTACCGTCAATTCTGAGCGATATCACGTAATGATAGTGGACTATTTTTTGCCGCAACTTGAAGGAATGGATATGGACGATGTTTATTTCCAACAAGACGGTGCAACATGCCACACAACCAACGTCAATATAAATCGATTGCAGTCCTTCTTCGGTGATCGCGTGATTTCGCGCAGAGGAAATGTGCCATGGCCACCAAGATCGTGGCTCCCTTGGACTTCTTTTTATGGGGATATTTGAAAAGCAAAGTCTACGTCAACAAACCAGCCACCCTCCAAGAACTCAACAACAACATCATTGCCGAGATAAATGCCATAGAACTGACCATGTTGCAAAATGTCATTGAAAATTTCGACCATCGCGTGGACGTCTGTAAATCCAGTCGTGGTGAACATTTGAGCGATATTATTTTTCATACATAAATGATATAAACGAACCTTCAAAATAAAGTACCCAACTTGATTTGAATATCAATCTTTCTTGTTTTAATATGCGTTTACTTTCCTGCGTCCGGTTTGGACAACCCCATATAATCCAAAAAGACGGAATTTCTGGGTCGATTGGGGACGAGGTGGTCTATGGAAAGGAGTAGGCCTGTGGCCTGATCTGTTAAGTTGATGTTCATGATGATGATGAAAAGAGTATAAGAATATTTCCACT